TTAAATCAAGAGGCAGCTGTACAGTTGAGTACCTGCATGCAAAGATATCTGGATTCACCCTATCTTCCATCAAGAACGTCAGCCACAGAAGCCCTTCCAGTCAGAATGAGACCCCCTCATTCATCTGGTATGCACCAGAAGTTCTAGAAGAGCAAGAGCAGATGGGCAGTGCAGGGAATTCCAAGTATACAGAAAAATCTGATGTCTACAGCTTTGGAATGATATGTTTTGAGCTTCTGACTGGAAAAGTTCCTTTTGAAGATAGTCATCTCCAAGGAGAGAAGATGAGCAGAAATATAAGGGCAGGGGAGAGGCCGCTGTTCCCACTATCTTCACCAAAATATGTCACAAGCCTGACAAAGAGATGTTGGCATACAGACCCAAGTCAACGGCCGAGCTTTTCTTCAATCTGTAGAATTCTTCGCTACATAAAAAGATTCCTATTGGTGAACCCTGATTACAGTGGCCAGCCAGACCCAGCAGTAGCTCTGGTAGATTATTGTGATATTGAATCAAAGCTTTTGCGGAAATTCCCTTCCTGGGAGACTTCAGATTCATTGCAAATTTCCCAAGTTCCATTCCAGATGTTTGTTTACAGGGTTGTTGAAAAAGAGAAAACAAGTACAAGTCTGAGAGATACTTCAGAATCAGGTAGTGATAAGGCTTCTGTTAGTGGGGATGAAAATGGGACAGCAGTTGATGAATCCTTCCCGCCGACGAACGAAAGGAGGCTCTCAACTTCAATTGAAGCTATGAACAAGAGGTCTTCTTCGTTGAAAAGATCTCCAGACGTGAAAACAAGTAAACAACCAGGTTATCCATTCCTCAATACCTACTTGTTTTCATTCCTTTCTAATATATTTTTTTAAAATCTTTTGGTTTCAATCTAAAATTATACCAGATATCAGTTTGGAATTCTTGTAGATCTTGCACTAAACAACAAGAATTTTCAATAACTATTGCCAGATCAAATGAATTTATCACCAATTGAACACTTAGTGACCTTTAGGTATTCAAATAATTCATCTTCATATAAATCATTAGTAATCTCAATCCGCCCTGTTGAGAATACGATTATTCTCAGATCTAAGGACTCTATATGCGCATATGTAGAATTAAATTTCTTCAAGCAGATCTTGAGTTACATATTTCCTCCAAATATCTCACATGGAAATTATTTGAGCAAGCATATGAACCATTTTCAGTTCTTAAAGTTAGTTCAAAGCATCAGCCATCAAAACAATAAACGACTATGCAACATTATTTTGTTAAAGCACTCTGGCATCTAGTACCCTGGTGTATCTCTGACCTCTTACTTAGAACATCACTTTCTTAGGAAAACCGAGCATTAACAATGATAGCAATACTTTTCTGCCCCTACATATCTTTAATAGGAATTGTTTTGAGTTTCTATCCATTTTGAGAAGAGAAAATTACCAAGCAATTTTTCTTATCATACTTTCAAGGATAACTAATAACATATCCGAACTTGAAGGGATGGTTTCAATCTGTTCCTCTTACATATCCTAACTTGAAGCTGGTTTGTTTACAGGGACACCAAGAGGAAGATCAGTAAGACCTCCACAGATTACCCCTTGCGGTCGTAGTTTACGAATGAGCTCAGAAAGCCAGCTAATGTTGATGAGTCCAAAAATGAGGAGATCAGGGTCTGGTCATGCCTCAGATTCTGAGCTTCCATAAACCTCAGATGAAAAAAATGAAGTACTCCAACATCCCGAGATGGTTTTCCTGGATCAGTTGTTGACGGTATGTTAAGGAAAATGTTTGTATAGATGCCAGACATTTGAGATCAAGGATTTGTTATCTTATGGTAGTTTATTAGGGAAAGAATGGGGTAGCTTGCACCAACTTCTCTAGTCTGTTATGTGATTTGGGCTAGTCCTAAATGTATGAAGGAATATTCCTTTGTTTGTCCACTAAAATATAAGAGTAGAAGCATTTCAAGAATAACATTATGACTCTAAGGTGTATAAGCTCAATACAAAAAGCTATATATGAGTGGAATGTAGAAGAAAGCAGTTCAGAATTCACTGATAGGTAGGTGGAACAACCTCATTAAGGTATAATAAACTTTATATGCAAAGAAAATATAGAGGGTAATAGAGTTACATCAATCATTAGGATCTGGAAAACTGCACACAACTAGTATGTGGATGTACGCTTTCAATGGGCAATTACAGGGTAGCCTTTAACAGTTCTACAACTTCTGGAAGTTCCAACCATTTACACTCGTTCTTCAGCTGTCAGTATAGAAGCAAATCAGGTGCCGGAGCAGCACTTGCACTCCATGAAAAATTTTAGTAGTTGCAGCTCATTCATCTTATACAAATATTTTCCCAGCCTTATAGGAACTTGTCTAGAAGAGAATTAAAATGAACTAAATATGATTCCTTGATCATTAGGAATCATATAACAACATGATATTGATCACCCAGAGACCTCACTATTTTTGCAATCCTAATGCCTGTGGACAGAACTGAAATTTCCTGCATATTTTGCTCTAAGCAAGGAACTTATGAAAGTGAACTGCCAAAAGAAGCAACTGATTTGTGTTTTCCCTGTCCAGGACCTGGCTGAAGCAAGGAAAATGTCCCAGACAGAAGAGAGGGCTCGGCGGCCTGTGTAAATTTCTGGTAGTAATTTCACATCAAGAAGGCGAAAGACAAGTTCTTCAACTGGAATGCCAGTAAGAAAACCTCTTATCATATCATTTCCAGTAGCTTCATACTTCCAGTTGAGTTGGCAGCAACAAGCATACCTGACTTCCGTCTCCAACAGACACTTGAAACAAACTGTCCAATATCATAACCAGTCTCATGTCCAGAAATAGGATCAATAGACCCAAACTTGTAAGAAGTGATTGGCATTGGCAAAGATCTATAATAACTGTAAACCTGGCGGGTGTGGGAATACATGTTGAGATAGTTAGAACTTAATGAGTAAACATGACAGAAGCAAGAACATAATAAAGGAAGAAACAAAATTCTAAGCAATTCAGAGGAAGCATATGTTAGCGATGAAAATCAATTTATGGAAAATTTCTTTGTAGAATAATCAGTTAAATTCTTCTTGGGAAAATTTCTAGATATGGCTACCACATATGGGTTTATCCACTCCAACCATAAATGAGAGCAGGATATCAAAAGTATTTAGAATTTTAGGTGACACAATATGTTGATATGCGCATAATAAGAGAGACCCATTCTCAGAGTTTTCCTTATACAAATATTACCACAAGGCTTGCATGTTTTCCTATATGAAAAAAAAATAATTTATTTCATGATTCGAAGATACTGACCAGTGCCTATTTTAATAAGAAAAAGCAAAAGAGAAACTGTTACCGAAAAAATGTGAGAAAATACATATTGAAGTTATTTTGTACAATGTTCACGGCTAACCATCTTAAAGTCAGTTGATATGAACCATGCAACAGCTAAGTATTTGTTAAAAATGAAATCAATGGGAAATGAGACAGATGTTAAGAAAAAAATCAGCTAGTATAGAACTTTTCTTTTTTTGGGCGATTAGATATTATTACCTCGTTGGTTTCTGAGCCACATGCTATGTACCCATCGAAGACAGATAGTCCCACAAAATTCTAAGCAGGCAGGAGATAATGGTCATCAGTAACCACATTTATTTGATTATCAAGAAGTTTAATATGCCCAGAGCAGTCTAACCAACCTTCTTATTTGTGTGGCCGTTAAAGGTTAAGGTGCAAGCACCAGAAACCGAACCAGTGGAACTGGTCTTATTCAGGTCCCAAAGCTTGAGAGTGTTGTCTGTGGAAGCAGATACAATGGTATTTGCATCTAAAAATTTGACATAGCTTACAGCTTTCTCATGGCCAACTAATGTGCACCATGGGGTTCTATCATGTCGAAGATCATAGCAGTAGACCTTGTAGTCAGCAGATCCAAAGGCCAACATATGACCAGAGGAAGCAGAGAATTGAACACAGCATACATTGGCAGGGTTCCATATGGTGCCAACCGAACTTTTCTGCACGAGAGTAGTCACCCATTTCCCATGAATATTATGATTAACATTCATAAGGAAAGCATTGTACTTCGAAGCAATATCAAGAATTCAAAAGAGATAAAAGGAAGAAAAAAGGTGGATGAGTCAAGAAGATGCTAATTGAAAATTTCTGCATAAGTTTTCACACATTTCTCATGGATTTTTAATTTTTAACATTCCAATGAGACAGAAAGGAGAAAAGAGGTGCAGCAGTTAGGAGAGAACAAGAGAAGAAGTTCATAGTGCCTGTCAACCCTGCCCTGCTCTGCTTTTAATGTGTAGCTATAGGACAGGCACTCCCAGCCAATTACTTTATAGCAGACCAGAAGTCCCTTTTGAAATTGATGATGCATTAAAAAATTTCAACATAAACCTCCCTTCATATAGTAGGGCAGGCACCAGGAAGACAGCAAATAATTTTTCCAGTGATTTATGGTGGTTGCATAAAATTCAAAATTATCAGAATTTCCTCTGCTTTGCAATGACAGTGCCTCCAAATGCATCTCCCATATGTTAAAAGGTGTATGTGAGTGGGTGCAACTGTGCAAGTATGTGAGACCTGAATCTCATGTCTAAATCAAAATAAAAGCACAAATTTGGAACTATGATTTTCAAGAAAGCCTGTATTTTAGGAGCTAGCTAACTGATAGTAAAAAATAGTATGCCTCATTAATGCTCCACAGCTTCACAGAACAGTCATCACTTCCGCTGGCAAACTTCATTGGGTCAGTTTGCGAAAAGTCAACTGACCAGGCTCTCTTCTGATGCTCTAAGTACTGTGAGAATCCTTGGCCGGTGCCAACATCCCAAATCTGCATGTACCCATTGATACCTTATTATTAATAAAATGTAAGAGTTGCCAGTAGAAAACAGAAAACCATGACATGGCAGGTTGCCTGATGCTTATGAATGAAAACATGAATTTGCAGGCTAAAATTGTTGACAATAAAACTACCATAATTGTGATGATAGTGATATTCATGAAAGGGAAATAAATAGCCAAAAGTAAATTTCTTTATAGGTCTTTGTTGAGAACTTGGGCTCGTGATCCAAATCAGAAGGAAGGACTTTCTTTCAATGGTAACAGTATCAATTAAGTTTAAGTTCACTTAATTTCTATTTGAATTTGAATCAAGATGAGATTATCCGTAATTGGCAGTTTGGGAGGTCTGTTAGACAATTCTTTCAACTCTCATGGCTTAGCTGACTGCTTCCTGAAATCTAGGAAATTCGGTTATTTCACTGGCTATATCATCTAATTGGCCAACTGAGAATTTAAATGAAAGAGACATTTTCTTCTTCTCCATTAAAAAATTCAACATCTTCCTTTCCTGCTAAATTCTTCCCTCTCTATCTCTCTAATTTTCCTTCTCTCTCTCTGCATGTTTACTTCTCTCATTCTCTCCCTCACTCATTTGTTACATTCTATGAACCAAGGACACTACAATTTTATATCAGAACCGAGTGAATCTGAACTTACTCTTGCTAAAATCATTAAATTGGCCAAGCAAGGGAAGAATGCTATGGGTGATCACCAGTGTTTACGGTAGTTCAAAGAGACGGTGAATGGACTAGATCAGCAGCACAAGATGTCATGACAGGAATTGATGTAAGCATGGAAAT